GCACAACTTGGTGGAATACTGCTACATGATAGGGCAGACGTGGTTAGTGCCTTGTGGGAGAGCGTGTACAATGCGGAGGAGCAGATGGATCACCACAGTCTGGGGAGAATGATGCAGTTGGGGGTAACGAGAGGTTCTGGCAGAAGCTCAAGGCTCAGAAGAAAGGCAAGACGGACGTTTAATCAGAAAGCTACTGGCACCATTAGTATCGGAACTCTTCGCTGGCTGCTGAAAATGGGGACGGAGCGCTTATGGGAATGCCCTGAGCGCTGTGATGTCGGTTCTTGAATCAGATCAAATCAAATCAACCCAGGCGGCTAAGGTCATATGTTTGTCTTCCACAAACAGAGCAGTAGTGGGATTCGGTAGCCCTTTGAGCGTCTGAGCAGCCTGTTTAGGGAAGCACTGCTCATCTCCATAGCATTGGGAAAAGGCTAGAAGGGTGTCCTAGACATTGCCTGCTCTACCAATACCTAACCAGCTTATGACAGCTGGTGGATACCATGTTCCAGCGGTCAACAAACACGAAAAGAAAAAGAGAAAGATGTTTCCACTCATATTAGGCACTTGCAGTGCGTATGCACTCCTTGACAACAAAAAGACAATCAGCCCTGAGAGGCACACTGCTCTGAGTGGGAGAGAACTGGCCAGATGCAACATTGACATTGCAGCATTGAGTGAAACTAGGCTTGCGGGTAAGGGCCAACTGTATGAAAAGGGTACAAGTTACATATTCTTTTGAAGCCGGAGGGAAAGTTGAAGAAAACTGAGTAGCAAGCAGTGGTTTTGCTATCAAAAAAAAAAAAAAAAAAAAAGCAAATGTAGGCAAGCTTACTGGAGCTCCCACATAAACAAATCTTCTACTATATGAGTAGGCCGCTGAGGTAATAATGGCCTTCTTCACCCCAAGAACCTGCACAGATCTAGACCTCAAAATCGACCAACACCAATTTTTGACCCGAAACAAGACTACCTATGCTCTTATGATTAAAATTGAGTGAGTAAGTAAGCGCAACAATTTCCACGCAGTCCGTTTAATAAGGATATTGAACATCAAGTGACAAGACTCCTAGTGTAGTTTCCGGGACCCCACTGTGAGCGGGGGTGGGGGGGGGGGGAGGGACAAGAATAGACCCACTGCCTCCTCAACAAGCATGCCATAGGAGTCGAATAATTCTTCGACGTCGGTGTACATCTGCAAGGAACCAAGAGATTGCATTCAGATAAGCCAAATCCGTGAAAAGAATGTGTACGCAACACTAAGGTTCTGGAACAAGACTAAAGTCCGGAAATGGACGAACACCCAGAACTGTCCGCTCTAGTTTACAGCCGGTGAACGCGGAGAAAAGAAGTGTGGCAAAACATGGTTCCATACTGTCGTACTGGACAGAGCTGGAATTTCCAGCTTCGATCCATCCTCATATGGTCACAAATTTGATTGGTGGGTCACTTAGTCTGCTTACCAGACCATCGGACCATTGGCTCCCAAAAATAATATTTCATCGTGAGACACAAGAAGGTAACCGCCCTCAGCGTGGTAAGAGGGCAAAATGACGTTTCAAAGCAAAGCTAAATGCATCACTTGAAACCTTCAATATAAACCCTGACACTTAGGTGGCTACCCAAAAAAAAAAAAAACCTTGTAAGGACACGCTACTTCAGTATAAACCCTGACACTTGGGTGGCTACCCGAAAAAAAAAAAAAAAAAAACGTTGTAAGGACCAGCTACCTCAATATAAATCCTGACACTTGGGAGGCTAGTGCAGAAGACCGTATTATATGATGAACATCCATGCGAAGAGGAGCAGCTACTTGCCAGACATCTAGAAAAGGGGCAGCTGAACAGAGAAGACAGGCTAGAAAGACCCCTCTAAGAGACCCTGGATCTACATACACTGTTCAATGCCCTCACTGTCCCTGACCCTCCCGAGCCCGTATTAGGCTTATAAGTCACATCAGGACTCACAGTCAGTCAACTATAGTTTCATTACGGATGAAAGAAAAAGTGGTCCTCATCACTTGTGATAGACAACCAACAGTATGGGGTGTCATTTAAGACACGTAAATAGTACACAGTATGCTATGAGTTCAGCGTTTCGCAAAGTCAAGAGCATATTCCGTTACACGCAGTTTGTTTAGGCCTTGTTCAAGGAGCGGATATGGAAGATGCTCATAACGTTTTTCACGCTAGTTTAGGATTTTGTTGATAAACGGATTGCCTAGTGGAAACCCGGGTCACAGCACACTACGTATAACACTGTTTTAGTGTGTGCTTTATCCTTGTCTACGTGCCTGTTCTTGTCTGAATGTATGTCATGCGCACTTCAGTATATTCTTGAAACTGGACCATAGTTCAAGTTATAAAGCTTTATTATTACTATTATTATTTCTTCTCCTTCTTCCTCCTTCTCCTCCTCTTCCTATTTTCATAGACCAAATTACACTGGATAGATGATGTGGCTAACAACATGCCGGCCGCTTTTACTTTCCAGGACACACATTGTGCGCAGTTTAGATTGAGCTGACCAGGGAGCCAGGGTCATTTAAACAAAAAATACAGTTTGAACGACGCGACGCGGATTCGAACGCTAGAGCTGCGAGCCGATAGACAAGAGTTGAGTCACCACGGCTTCCATTTAATGGAATGTTATTATAGTTGTGAAATGTGCTTGACTCGTTTCCGTGTTGCTAAAGAAATGATGAGTGCGCTCAAAATGTGTACTTGATTTTGTTTCCTGGTGATGTGTCACCGGCCTCTACTTCAGTTTAACGTCTCTATTATTGTGGCCAATATGTGTTTGGCTTCTTATAGTCTTTATTGTGAGTGTGTGTGTGTGTTTTTTTTTTTTAAATTCAAAGTATTTTTAATTTCAGACAATGTTAGTGTCACATTTTTGGTTCCCTATGTGCGTTCCTGGGCCCATTTGTATTTATGTGAAAGAAATGGGCGGGCGGGATGGACGAAATGCTGGCAAACAAGCATGTCCTAAGATGCTGTTAGTTAATGGTTTACTGAAATTGGAAGAGCTAGACCCGAAGGCTCAGATATCGCAGCCTAGCTATAACCCACAACATAACGTGTCCGGCGCCCTATTAAAGGCGTGCTTAAAAGAAGATCTTTGTTTATCATTGTGTGGCTTGTCGGTCGACCACTGGGATCCACGGTAGCGTTGTGTACATGAGGGCCTGCCGGCCCTAAGCTTTTGGGTTCCAGTCTTCATCCTTAGTTGCAACGTATTTGTAAATAGTATTTTTCAAATACTGCAGTCACAAGAATTTTAAATCTTTTGCACTACACTAAACCAATTACAAATGGTTTATCAAACACACACTCACACACACACACACACACACTCTCTCTCTCTCTCTCTCTCTCTCTCTCTCTCTCTCTCTCTCACCTCTGTCTCTCACATTCTCAATCTTTCTTTCTCTCTCTACCGCTGCCCTATTTTTATTCAATGCCCGAACTGAATCTAAGGCTACCACCGCCCCATGGATCATCTCAGTGTCTACTTCCTCAGTTTGATTAAAGTAGCTACCGCCCACTGGATTGACCCAGCGCCCTTCCCCCTCCGCCTATTTCCAGGGGGCGGTAGTGCTCACTTTGGTAAACACTGGTCTGGTTGCTGGGCTACCGCGGTTCCTCCGTTTTGTTTGTGTATTTTTTCCCATCTTCAGTATATTCATCTGTATGATTTATACACCGAAATTAAAATCACAGAACTTGGGGCGTTCCTATAAGCGCCCCGTCCCCATCTTCAGCAGCAAACGCAAAGTTTCAATTCCGATGGTACCAGTAACAGTCTGTAGTATGTCCGTCTCGCCCCTTTCCTGAGTTTTGAGTGTGCACTCGCTGCACCATTCTCTTCAGTCCATGATGATCTGTTTGTACCTCTACACGGTTTACTTGCATCTCAAAGCTCTTATCACACCTATCTTGCCATGCATCAATGTACCACCAAGTGGTGCAAAACCAGCGAATCTAACCTACTGTTTATTTTCCAATACACCGGTGACGCCAGTAACAATATCCAAAGGACGCAGCCTACCCAGGACCTCTGGGGAGATGCTTGCTGCTCTCCACCTTTCTCAACATGTTCAGTGAGTCAGTTACAATCAGGACACGTGTGTACTGCCAATACTTATTAAGCCAGCCAAAACATGCAGTTACCGCCTCCACCTCTATTCTCAAACTAGATGTTGTCATATAGCATGCCAGGTTTTGCTGCACTAACGATATGCCTTCAGTAACTTTAACGACGTGTCCTCAGTGAGATGGACTTTTGTAATGAGTCATTTTTCCTTCGAAAATCAATGTTATCATTCGTAAATGTGGTTAAATACTAAACATAAATGATGTACTTGAATTTGGTTGAGTGGTATCGAGTACGAAGGATAATATGTGTAAAAAAATAACTCGAGACAATCTTGCAAGTCGGCTGAAAGTGTGCCAGAATCGTATGTGGAACGTTCGGGAACTCGAGAGGAAAACAGTTCATTTAAACTTAGAAGGAATTAGAAGATTCGGTCTTGTTTTCGATGTTGAGAAAGCCGGTTCGTATGGCGATTGAAGAATGAGGAGTGAGTGAATCTTCAAAGAACGTGAGTGTTAGATCGAGCAGCTGACCTGGACAGAAAAATTTGACTTTCCTGTTCCGTACGAATGGCTGAGTTGGCATCTTCTGCGAGACGAGTGTGTCTGCTCAAGTATAGGTTTGTTAGCTCTTGAAATGTCTACGATTGGAAGTGCTGTGTTCGATCATCCTGTGAAGTTAACGTTAAATTAATTTACGCTGTTGTGTGTCATCGATCTGGTCGTCTCTGAACGTCTATACCTCTGGTGCACTGATGGAGAACAACAGTTGTTGGAACCAATAAACATTTCGTATCTGATCAGCGGTGTGGCGTTTATAACTTTTCTTGTTTCTTGCTGAAGATTATGTTGAACTAAAGGAGTGTCGTTGTAATCATCTTAACATTATCCTTATTATTTCCCCAGTGCCTGTGATGACGAAGTGACAGGGACCAGAGTTGCTTTGAAGAAACTGGCTAGACCTTTCCATTCGGAAATATTTGCCAAAAGGGCCTACAGGGAGATACGCATGCTGCGTCATTTTCGCCACGAAAATGTATGTATATCATATGTATGTTTTATGAAAGTAGTGATAACGCTTAGACTGAACGTGTTTTATCATTACAGTAATACTTGTCCAGATACAAGCATTAGAAATGCGATGCTTCATAAAATTGTTTGGCATATCATACAGAGACCCCATTAGAAAAGAAGAGGTTCGCCGTAAAATTATACAGCACATTGGCTACTATGAACCTCTTTTAACTACATCGAAACGGCTAAAAATTCAATGGTATGGACTTGTAATAAGACCTACCAGCCTCTCAGAAACAATACTGCAGGGCTCAGTAGAGGAAAGTGGGAGAAGAAGCAGCCCAAAAAAGACCTGGTTACAAAACCTGACTGACTGGACAGATCTCTAGCATGCAGCCATGAAATCCATCGCAACTGACCGCCAAAGGTGGAGAGAAATGATCAACAGAAACTGGTGACCCAACGACACGTAGTGTTACAGGATTATAATGATGATCAATACTTGTATATCTGAGGTAGAGTACGTTTTACGAAAACTGTGTTTCTTCTTAGACTGAACGTGTTCTTTTAATACATCAACATGTTCTAGGCTGATTTTATGAATGCTGCGATACTTATTAGACTGATCGTGTTTTACCAATGCAGTAATCTATCCAAGAATGGGGAAGTTTTTATAAAAGCAGTAATAACTTTTAGACTTAATGTTTTATCCGTACAGTGTTATATCTTATTTTAGTTATAGTTTATTAAAACTGTCGAGTCTCTTAGATCGAATGTATATTGAGTTGAATTGAGTTGAGTCAAGAATTGACATCACAGCACTAGGGGCATTTCCATGCGTGCTCCGTCCTTATCTTCAGCAGCCAGCGTGGAGTTACAATACTGATAGACCGGTCACAATCTGGTTATTTGTCCGTCTTGCCTTTCCTCTGAGTTTAGTGATCCGACCAAACCCTCTGGTTACACCCAGGTGCCTCATTCTCTCCAGGCCATAATGATCTTGTTTCTCTACTGATTCCGTTGCTTGTTCCCAAAGGGCCTTGACCACATCTGCCGAACGTATGTCATTATTATATTATTAATATTTATTATTAATATATGTCTTCCAAAAATGAGTTCATCAGAACATCTGACCTATAGCAAATTTGCAGAGTAAACGACCATTGTCAAGATAGTGAAATGTGTTTTGCACAAGAATCAATTTGATTTGCTAAAGGATGAACGAGGTTTGCAAAAGGATGTATTTGGCTTTCCATTCCCTTATAAGCAAAGCGCTACAAGAGTAGTCAGCATCTACCTAGTAAGACATTAAATGCGAGACACAATGTCTTTGAGTGTGCCCAATATGCTGTCCGTCAATGTTTACACCAGTAGTCCTTAATGCCCTATTATATAGTTTTAAGAGGTATAACTTTTTTTTTCTTTGCGTTGGACTAATATTCATAACGCAGCTCATTAGGTCATTGAGGTGTCCAACCTTTAGTTTACAGACACACACAAAAATTAATCAATCAGCCTAATAGATGAGACTAAATTGTCAAAACTACGACAAAGTCGCCAAAGTGCTAAATCCTTGTTTAGAGAAAATCTTTAAATCACCATTGATCACTGGCATCCCGATGGCTAATTTTGGGGCATTTTGAGAGATTAGATGACAGAGAGGTTAAAAAAAATAGACTGTGTACACATGGGAGTTGAATGGTCATAGACCACGAGGCAGATAAAGAAGACGATGGAACGATAATATCCAGACATCTGGATATCTGCAAAAAAGTTGGTGTAACCAGCTGGAAAATAAAGGCCAACCAGAGAGATCTTCTTCTTCTTTCGTTCGCCTGAAATAAGTTATCTATATCAGCAGTTTTGTCTCTTGTATAAATTTCACTGTTGTTGTTAGTTCATTCAGTGGTCCATAGAGTTTACGTTCCACTGTTGTTCTTTCTGGCCAAAAGGTTTGCCTTAATGTGTCAAATTCGGTGCAGTCCTGGAGTACATGCTCTGCGGTCTGGGGCACATTTCCACAGGTGCACATGGCTGATACACCTATCTTGAATTTTGTGTACATGTGGTTACGTAATCGGTTGTGCCCTGTTCTGAGGCGGAAGATAATGACTTGTTCTGGTCTGTCCATAATAAAATAGTCGTCTTGTGCTGGGGCTGGTGGTTTCCTGATCGATTTAATGATTCTTTTCTTTTGGTGGTATGTGACTGGTACATCTGGCTGCTCTTTTTTTCGCACCTTCCCCTGCCAGTTGATCAGCTTTCTCATTTCCAGGCACTCCACAATGAGACGGTATCCACTGCATTACGACTCTTCGCTGAACGCTGAGTTGTGTCAGCAGTGTTTGCAATTCTGGTAGTTTCCTAGACTGGAGTGCTTCAAGTACTGATTTAGCATCTGTAAGCATTACCACATACTGTGAGCCAAGGTTGGTATTTAGCAGTTTCTCTGTAGCTATCTTAATAGCCTGGGTTTCTGCATCGTAGTTATGGCAGTACTTCCCGGTTGGTACGCTGGACTTATCCCTAGTACCATCTGGGAATTCGATGTACACTCCAGCACCACCATTTCTAACTGCACTTTCTGCGGACCCATCTGTATAGACTCTGACCCATTGTTCTTGTGGGTATTCTTCATCAATATAACTGAGGGTGGCCATTTTGCGTTGTACACTATCTTGCTCTTTCTTGTCAAATATCCCTTTCACATTTGTCTGGATTTGTACCGTTAGTTTACATTTTTCTCTCCATGGGGTTTGTTCCGGAATACTTTTTAGTGGGCAGCCAATTTCTGGAAGGTCAGGAGTTTGTCTACATATTCTTTTTGCTTGGTGTATAAAGCTGCTTCTTTTTAACCGTCCCAAGGCTAGGTTCTTAAATCTATTTTCCATCGGGTGATCTGGCATACTGAGGAACTTTTCAGCTTGTATTTGCAACTTTGTATCTCTGCGTTCTCTCAGTGCCTGTGTTTTCCCAGCTTTCTCCATTTCTAATATGGGGGTTGATTTCATCCCTCCTGTGATGACTCTGAGCGCTTGATTTTGCACTTTGTCTAACTCCTTTAATGTGGTACTAGATGCTGAACACCATGCAGTTGACCCATATTCCAAGTGTGGAAGTATGCTCTGCTTGTATACTTTATTGAGTATTTTCCCATCTGCTCCCCATGTGGTTCCACTTAGTTTTCTTAGTATTGCTGTCTTCCTCCTGGCTTTGGTTGCTGCCTTGTTGATATGTTTTCTCCATGTCAACCTGTCATCAAATGTGACTCCTAGGTATGTGGGCTCTTTATCATCTCTCAGGGGTATTTCGTTTATCTTGATGGTGCCGGCTTTTTGCTTTGGGGAGAGGGTGAATAGTGTGGTGCTACATTTGTCTGTGTTGATGCTGACACACCATCTATTGGCCCATGCCTCAAGTGCATTTGTAGCCCGCTGTAGTGTTTTTTGTGGCTATCGTTGCATGTTCATTGGTGCACCACAGTACCAGGTCGTCGGCGTACATTGCCATTTTGATTCCATTTGGTATCTCAGCAACCAGATCGTTGATAAATAAAAGGAAAAGTGTGGGCGACAGGACACCACCTTGAGGGACGCCTTGTCGCAGTAGAACTTTTTTACTTTTAAAACCATCTACCTGTACACGGGCTCTTCTGTTATGTAGATATGCTTTAATCCAATTGTACATTTTTCCATTTATTTTATAGTTTCTCAATTTCTTCAAAAGCCCCTCCTTCCAAACCTTATCAAAAGCTTTCCTTAAATCTATCCATGCCGCGAGTACCAGTTTCTTATCTTGAAAAGCATCCTCTATTTCTTGGGAGAGGTATGTTGTCTGGTCTTCCGTAGAATAGAACTTTCTAAAGCCCGCCTGCTGTGGTGTAATGATGTTTTCACTTTCAATGTACCACTGTAGTCTGAGGTTGGTGATGCGCTCCATTGTTTTACAGAGACAACTTGTGAGGCTGATCGGTCTGTAGTTGGAGGCATTAGAACTGTCTTTCCCAGGCTTTATGATGGGTATCATAATTGCCTCTCTCCAGATCTGTTTAACATTCCCTGTTGCCCACAAGCATTAAATATCTGTAAAAGCTTTGCTTTGGCAACTGTTCCAAATTTTCTGATCATTTCGTTTGATATACCACCTGCTCCTGGTGACTTACGCATTTTCAGCTTTGAAATGGCCAACTCCAGTTCATTAAGTGTAATTGGCACCTCTAGCGCCTCTGATGTTATTTCTTTCTGACTTCTAAATAGTGTCTTTTCTTGAATTTTGTGTTTTTGTGTTGTTGTTGTCCTGAACTGATTTCAATGCAGTTATCTAAAGCAAAAGTGTATGTTGACTGCCTTTTTTCCCGTGACCATGTTTCCATCTTTCTGCAGCGTGATCTTTGAGTTCCACCCTGAGTCCTCATCATTAAATTGTTTCACAAGCTACCATAACTTTCTTGTGTCTTTTTCAAAGTTCAGCAACCTTGTTTTCTCCTGCCAGCTTTCCCTTCTAACCTACAGCTTTGCCATAACAAATTTTGCTTTTGCATGCTGGTAGTTATTGTGTTCTTGGTTTGGCCTGGTCTCTGCTATCTTTCTGGATGTTTCTACTTTGTTATGTAAATTTTCTAGCTCATTACTCCAGTGTGGCTTATAATGCTTACGGGCACCTCTTGGTATTGATTCTCCTGCTGCCTTTAATACGCATTTGTTAAATTCTTTAACTACTTTGTTTATATCCTGGTCTACGCTGAGATTTCCAAGCAGTATACTGGTACGGTGCTTGAACATTGTCCAGTCAGCCTTCTTGTAGTTCCACCTTGGCAGCGTACTAGTTTCTCTGACCTTCTCATTTTCTACATTCAGGAAGACCGGTCGATGGTCACTGCCTCCCAGTTGATTTCCAACAACTCGTTTAATGTTCCATTCCAGATCTGGAGAGTGAAATGCTAGGTCTGGGGTAGTAGTGGTGTGCCACGACCTCGAGTAGAATGTGGGTGGATCAGTTGGCCTATTAATAAGAACAAATCTG